CGTTTTACTGCAAACTCAAATATTTAATGAAGAGCTGGAACATAAGGATATGATACATGTTATGTAGGTTTAGCCCGTTACCATAGCTACCTGATCTGCATTCTCCTTATGCTGCTGATTCCCTGCACCTTATTGGCTACAGTCTCAGCCAATCAGAATGCTTGTTACATTCCATAATCGGGATCCACCTCAGTCTGATATTTGAAGAAGGGATTTTATTTTGAAAATCATCATCTAAAACTTAATAAATGCTACGAGTCGACAGTTAGCTACATTCGGATGAGATGTCGTAGGTAGTTTGGTTGTCGTACAGTATAGTAGGGTTGTGGGTTCAATTCCAGACTCCCAGGCAAATGGCAACAGCTGCAGTGTAGTGTTCAAAGACATCATTGTCCTCAACTTCAACTATGTTTGCAGCACCCTCTGCAGGACAGGTGACGTCACTGCACATGTCCTGTCTCCATGAAACAGTTAAATTCAAGAGAGGAAAGAAATTCATGTTTCCTTCGTTATTCATATTAAAAATTAGATTAAATTTCATTGTCGTTTTGTGACATTGGGATTTGGTTTTGAAACTAAAGACTAAAAATCAAATGTTTAAAAACAGAATCAACAGATTCTGTTGACTTGGCCGTAGAGTCCAGGAGGCGTCTGTTGTGTCCGTGGACATGGTGACCAGTGGAGACAGGAACAGGCGGATCACAGGCGGCTTTGTGTGTCTAAACAAATGACAGGAAGTGCAGGTATGGAGAGACGTCGCCATGGAGAGTCAAACTGAAGAGAGGTTCAACCGAGGTTCAACTTTATCACTTGCACAAAGAGTTGCTGTTGCGTTCCTCATCAGATATGGTGTAATTAACCGTCCAATCAGGAGCCGGGCTGAAACACAGGAACTTTCTAACCAACGGCAAATAAACCTCACAGCAACGAGTTTCTTCCCTCGTGGCTGAATTTGACACGGTGACGATAGTTAATGACAAAAGACAGAACAGGAACCAGGCAAGAAGGAGATAGGGGTTTAAAAAGTGACCAGAAGGGGGCAGCAATGCAACTAAAAAGAACTCCAATTGCTGCAAGAATCCAGAGAGAAAGAGGTTTTTGTCGACTTCAGAGCGTTGGGTCAGAGTGAAGCAGCGAGGACAGAACAGTTGAGGGATTGAACCAAAGAGGAGTAATTTGACACGAGGTGTGAGCTGGGCTTGAGTCTCACCAGCGTCACCCGCTGTCTCCTTTTTTAATCCGACAGCAGCGGTTGTGTCGTAACACTTTCTGACGCTTTGAGGCTATATTTGACGCTGCAGAGAGAGAGAGAGACAAACCACAGGGCGCAAATGAAAGTGAACCGTATCTTTGGCTGTGCAGTGACAGAAGCACATGAGTTTGCAGTTTTTTTTTTCTTCACCAAACACGAACAAAAAGCAGTTGGAAAGAAAAATCTCATGGCATCTCCATCCAAAAAAAACCAAACAAACAAAAAAAAAAAAACCCCCAAACCACCGTATACTGCAATTTCTTTTCAGCAGAATTTCAATTTTCACAACCACGACTTCCGCAGACTTATCATTTTTTCTCATCTTTTTTTTCTTATCTATTTTTTTTTTGGTCTTATTTTTAACTGTGCAGGTGCAGAGTACATTTTTTCTCGACATCTCGTTATTCCCCACAGAAACCACATCGGCCTTATTTGTGTGTTAATACTTTTTTGGCTAAAGGCTGAAGCTAAAGGCTGAAGCTAAAGGCTGAAGCTTTCTCTCGGCAGTATTGTATTGATGTTCCTCAAACATATAACAGAGCATGGAAGGTATGTCTGGTATGGACGAGGCATGTGGTAGAAATCAGGAATAAGGGAATCTTGGAGTCAGGACGTTTTCTGTTGGATGTTTATGAAAGCATTCCTCAGAAGTTATCCTTGAGTGGGTGAGTCTGAGAAAGGGAGAGAGAGATGGACTAGTGTGGGGTGGAGAGAGGGAAGGGGGGAGGATTTACTCAGGGGGAGGATGGAGGGTGTGTCTCCCTGTGTTTAATGCCAGTAAAAGTCACTGTTAGAAACAGACAGTTTTTGAGAGTTGAGAGTCAGAGAAACGAGTCAGAGAACACACACACCCACAGTCTGTCTAGGTGTGTGTGTGTGTATGACCTGTGGTATGTTAAATGTGTGTGTGGGGGTGTGTGTGTGTGTGTGTGTGTGTGAGGCTGACCTCCTTAGTAAAAAAACATTAAATTTTAAGTTTGGTTTCAGTCCAGAAGATTCTACTTTGTTGCCAACAGTGATGACGGAAGAATTCCAAGGCCATGAGTTCTTCCCACACCTGGTCATGTTCTGACCGACCAATCAGGCGACAGTGTGGCTCAGGCCTCCCTCAGTGAGACACAGTGACCATAGAGAACATGTAAAACCACAGTGCACGTACGTGCACACAGACACACACGTCAGTCAGTGTAAAGAAGCAGCACAGCTTCCGCTTTTCAGGAACAGACAACGGCGGTGTGTGAGAGGAATGTTTAAGAATAGAATATAAACACAATACAAACAAGAACAAACTGGATTAGATCAGATTAGTCATGTTGCAGCAACAAAAACATTCTTCTAGCTGTTCATGTTGTTGAGATAAAACACAGAACCAGATTGTTGTACTTTTTTTTTTTTTTTTTTTGCAGATAAGGTGGTGTCTCTGAGTGTGTGTTTGATTAGAGAAAGGGAACATGGGAAATTGTGTTTTACTGATGACGCTGTGAAGTGTACTGTTATACTGTGCTGTTCCAGCAGTAAAACATCTGTTTGGTCATATGTAAAAATGCTGATTAACTGAGATTAATATTGATTGACCGCAATAATGATTATTTGAAAAATTAAATGCTTATTTTAATAACAGAAACAATAATAATAATAATAATAATAATCTACCTTGAAGCTGACAAATGGGGAGTTAGTAAATGTACACTAAGACTACTGCATGTGGCGTTAGATTTTCGGTGCATTGTGGGTCGAGTCCCTCGTTAACCAGTCTGGTTTACAGTTAAAGCCACTGGTTTCTAATAAAGTGCAGCAGCTGGTGCAACAGTGAAGTGTGCATCCACAGCCAGTCTAACAGTCTCACACTTTCTACTGCAACGGTGGTGCCGTTGTCACCGCGGCTGATGAGAGGTTTTTTTTAGTCAGAGCTACTGGTTTCCAGTAAAGACCTGCACCGAGTGTCTTCACAGCAGAGGAAGTGGTGGTAGCGTCGTCTGTAACTGTTAAAAGAAGGTGTTGTCATGCTGCACTCACGTGTTTAATCAGAGAGAGAATGAAAAGAAAAAAATCTGAAAACCTCAACTTCATTAATTGACGTCATTCAGCGATTTGTACAGTGAAATATTGAAGGACTGTGTTGAAACTCGACTGCACTTTTTTAAAAATTTGAAATTCAAGATTATAATTTAAATAATTAAATAATTTGCCTTGCGGTAAAACATAAAAAAAAATTCAAAAGCCATAAAGACAGGGGAACAGTGTTAATGTAAATGATGATATAATGAAGGTCAACGTCTGCAACCGCAGTATTTATCGAATACATATGTCTATGTTGCCATCTAGCGGACAAGAGCTGTCATGACAGCAGTCTGGGGATTTCAATCTGCTTTCCTTTGTACAGTATTCTGTGATTGGTAATTAAAAGCAGTAAATAAAATAAAAATAAATAAATAAAATTATGTTAAAAAGTAGTTAAACCAAGAGAGTCTCCTCTTTTGATAAACAAGTAGAAGTCATCAATATATTAATTATATTTATCGACAACAATCAATACATTTCTAAAAAAAATAAATACAGACTGTTAAAGATCAAACATAAAATCTAAAAATCTTTATGTCACTCTATACCTCCGCTCTACATATAAAATAGACCGTGTTGATTTTCGTGCATCTGTTGTTCTATTGTTGACCAGAAGAGGGCAGTGTTTCCTCATCCTCTTCAATCGTACTTCAGATCTGTCGGTTTCCTGCCCTGCGGCCTCACTGACATCATCCCTGGTTTATTGCAGAAGGAGGCCATCTTTGAAGGTCCTCCTCTGGGGAAATGTGAGCTATTGATTGGTTGACGGGTGTCAGCTGCTCATTGATCACCTCTCCCACAGACAACAATGGAGGGAGAGCAGTGAGAAGCAGCCAGGATTCTGTTCACACAGTGGAGGCAGAGCCACAGCTGCGGCAGCGCATTAACAATATTCACTCTGTGTGTGTGTGTGTGTGCGTGTGTGTTTGAACACTGTAATAAATAGTGGATACCTGTCTGTTTAGAAATGAATAATTAGCTGAAAGGAGCTTATGATCACCTACAAAAAAACAGAAATATTATTTTTTAAATATAGCTGGGATGCCCTTAAAAGTTAACATTTCTTTAGGTAAGCTAATAGCTAACAGATAGCAAGAAGGGTGACTCTTAAAGGTTAACTCAGCACCACCATTCTTTATCCTGAATCTGAATCTTGTGAGTTGCATTAGTGCCACCTACTGGTTAAAAATGAGGTTCACCGTCTGGTTGGTTCGGTATTGGTTGGATGTGGAGTAATGACTGAAGTGATGTAAATAAAATGCACATGATTAAACCGGAACTTTCAAAGAAAGTTTGGCACTTTAGATGTCTGGCGCCATCTAGTGGCATTAACTGAAATTGAAGTTGAGTTGTTGTGATGCATTAAATAGAAGGATGGACAGTAATCTTGTACTGTACAGTGTCTGCAGGGTTAGGGTTAGAAAGCCCAGCGGGCCGTAGTTTACCTGAGGTCAACTGTTCATGTTTGTGAGACTAGGTCTGACATTTTAACTTGTCTGGATGGAATATTAAAGTCAATTGAGACTCAGACGAGCCTTTTGAGTTTCACTGAGTCATTGTTGGACCCCCGGCGTAGACCCTGGAGCAGCAGCAGCAACAGTTCCTGCTTCATGTTTTTAATCACTTCTCCTCTGATTTTCAAACCTCTTGTGTCACTTTTTTACCACTGGACCACACAACAAGAGATATGGAACACACAGAAACAGAAACCTCCCACAGTGAGGAGGAGGAGGATGATGATGATGACGATGATGTGATGGTGATGTGATGTGATGTGAACACTCATTCGAGGCTGTGTCCCACTCCTCTTCAGTGGAAAAGCTGCACGGCTGGCTAATCAGAAACACAATGGTGTCTCCGTGTCCTCAGTTCTGCCACCTGGACACCGACAGTGTTTAGACTCATGACGACGTGACTCAGATCCTTGGCTCTGTGTGACTCAGGATCTCAGACTCAGACTGGACTCTGCTGGAGGGGGAGGAGGGGGGCGTCATTGTTTAATCTGTCCTCTGGGCAGTTGTACAGTTTTTTATTCAGTCCACTTTGGCAGCAGCTCTCTCTCTCTCTCTCTCTCTCCCTCTTTCTCATTTGTCGAAAACACTAAACCAGTTTGTGTGTGTGTGTGTGTGTGCACTGAGACAGAGAGGGAGGGGACAGGAGACGTGGGAACTGATGACTGAAGGGAGGATGTTAGCATTTTCCCATGATTCCCTGTGGAATTTTGATTCTTACTGCTGCTGAGAAGTCAATCCGAACGAAGCTAAAAGTTAGCAAATTAGCCGGCTTGTGACTAAAGAATGGGCTTTAAAGAACAAAAAGTAACATCAGGAATAGAAAGTTTGATCAAAGATCTATTTTTTTTGTCTAAGAAATGATTAACGGTCTTCTGAGAATGGCTGAAGGTTAGCGCTCAGATGAATGTTTAATTTTATTCTCATAAATAAAATCCCTCCTCTTCCTGTTCAACAGCAGTTTGAATGAACGTGAAGTTGTGATGATCAGTCCAGATTCACAGCCTGTAGTTTTCACTTTCCCGGGTTTTTCCAGAGTGGCCGAGAATAGAATCACAATTCACCTGGGAATTCTGGGAAAAATAAAAATGTTTTCTCCCTTTAGGCCAAAACAGTGAGATTTCGCTGGTTCCCATGACACGCAGTGGGACACACACACACACACACAGATATTTTTGTGTATTGTGTTCTCCAGCTCCTAACATTACTAACACAAATATCCCCTGTGTCTAATCTTAATCCTGACCATAACTTTATTCTCCTAATCCTAATCCTCAAATTGCAAAAATTCTCCCACAGCGACAAAATCCTCATTTTTCACTTTTTTAAATGTTTTTTTTACTTAAATTAATTTTTTTTTTATTTACATTTTTTTATTATTATTTTATGTTAATTTTTTTTAAATTTTTGTGTGTGTGTGTGTGTGTGTGTACATGGAGTGCCCAGAAGTTGGCGAGTCATCAGTAGAGATCTCAGAACACTGCAGGAAGTGGTGGTTCACAGATGACTCAGCCCAGCCATACATTTCAATACTCTCTTTCTCTCTCTCTCTTTCTCTCTCTCTCTCTCTCTCTCTCTCCCTCTTTCTTCTTACACCTGCTGTTTCACACTCTCTGTCTTTATTTTCTCCATCCCTTCATTCAAAGACATGTTCTTTCTATTTCTCTGCTTCATCTTCTCTTTTAAGTCGTTTCTTTAACGTGTATGTGTGTGTATGTGAGTGTGTGTGTGTGTGAGTGTGTGAGTGTATATATATATCAGTGTGAGTAGGACTTCCAGAAATGTGTGTGGGATGATATCTGGCTTCCTTTGGAGTCATTAAAACATTTTCCTCTCTCTCTCTCTCTCTCTCTCTCTCTCTCTCTCTCTTCCTCCCTCTCTCTCCCCTTTCTCACCGGGTCTCTCTGTCGTTTCAGTTTTGACTGAATCTTTTCTGATGAAGAGGAGAATGAAGAAAGACAAACCGGTGAGTGCCAACAATCCTGACACCACATTTATAAGGACACACACACACATACACACACACACACACACACACACATACATTCTGGTGTCTAATCAGCTCTGTGGCTCCTGTAGCTCCGTCCTGGCATTTTGCGTCATTTCTGATGAGAAATTCTGCTGAAATAATATTTGACGTCTGGTGTGAGAGAGTGTGTGTGTGTGTTTGTGTGTGTGTGTGTGTGAGGGACAAGACTTTGGTTCACGTGGACGACTGTGAGACAGTCTTAGGAGCAAATTCTTTCTTTAATCACTTGGTTTTATTTTCTATTCTACTTCCTTTTGCGTCTTTCGTGATAACTGTTTTGTAAACATATCGTAGTGCGTGACGGCGAGTCGACAACGGCGTCTGCAGAGCGGGCGACCTTTGGCGTCTGTAGTTTTGAGTTAAAAGTAACCAATGGCTGAAAATCATGATCACGTATTGGAAAAGAAAACAATGATTTCGAATTCCGACTCATCAGTTTGAAGCAACTTATGGCAAAAGTCCAGCCCGATGTTTGGGTCACATGGGAGATTTCGGGGGGGAGGGGGCGTCCTACAGAAAACCTACGGAAAACTCAGTCTTTACAGCCTTTTTTTAATCCAATTTCTTTGACATACATTTTAGTGTTTATCTACGGATTTGTGTGATCATTTTTGTGTTAAAATTTTGTGTTAATTTGTGTTAATTTTTAAGTTAAATGTCTCTGGTCTAGCAGCAGAAATGTCACCGCGATATAACCAACCAGATATTCAACCACAAAACACTAAAAGTAGCACGAATATCTGTATTTATCTGAAACAGCTAAGTTAAGTGAAAAATTGTTCTCATTCAGTGCATTGCTAGCTAAATGCTGGCAAATTAGCCTAGCGCTAACTTAATGCTAAAATGTACCCCAAAGAGACTGTAACAAGCTAACATTCCTGAGCTAATGTTAGCTCAGGAACAACTTAAAGTTGACCCAGAAAAGAGAACAATCACCTGAAAAGTAACCAAATGTTAACCTGTAGTTCGAGTCAGAACTAGCAATCAAACGACTAGTTAGCGACAATGTAACCCAAGCTAGGGAACTGAAGCTAATTTATAGCTAAATGAGCTGAATATTGGCTAAATATTTGGCCATTTCCTAACTCAAAGTAACCTACAAGGTTTAGAACTTTAACAAAAAGATAAAAAAGTTGGGTCAATAATGAGTTTGACTGCTGGTTCCACGTGGGTGACTGATGGTTTTCCTGTTTGTGTAACTGTTAATAATTTGTAGCCCACACCTTTTATCCGACTCAGACTCACTCCTACCTGCAACTCAAGTCGTCGGCCACAGGGAATTTTCTGTTTTGTTCAGATGTTGTAATTTTACGATTTACTCAGCCCCTGAGGTCGGAGCTATTTACAGCAACTTCAGTGTCACATGAACCGAGGTAATGAAAAGTATATCTGCACCTCAGGAGGCTTTGAGTCAGAACTCCTTCATTTTTTAGGCCAAAATGAGTCTGGTGGTGACGTGAACCACGGTTTCAGAATCACTGAAGATGCACATTATATAAGAAGTGCAGTGGGCGGAGCCACTGAGTCGGCAGAAACGGGCCAGGTTGAGTGGGGGAGCCAGAACTGATGACAGGGCATGCTCTTTTTGTTCTCGGGTTCTGATATGTGTCAGAGATGGAGAGAAGCTCTGAATTGTTGTTGTTTTTATCAGACTGTGCGGTGATGTGATAACCATCTAGGTATGCTAGCTGAAACTCGCTAAAGCCCACATATTCTCTTGTTTTCATCTGGTGCAATCACACGAATGTGTGGTTCTCAAAGGTGCAATACATTATCAACACTTTATCAACACATTATCGTTTAGGGATGTGACCATACACTCAGTCTACGGAAAACTCAGTCTTTACAGCCTTTTTTTAATCCAATTTCTTTGACATACATTTTAGTGTTTATCTACAGGTTTGTGTGATCATTTTTGTGTTAAAATTTTGTGTTAATTTGTGTTAATTTTTAAGTTAAATGTCTCTGGTCTAGCAGCAGAAATGTCACCACGATATAACCAACCAGATATTCAACCACAAAACACTAAAAGTAGCACGAATATCTGTATTTATCTGAAACAGCTAAGTTAAGTGAAAAATAGTTCTCATTCAGTGCATTGCTAGCTAAATGCTGGCAAATTAGCCTAGCGCTAACTTAATGCTAAAATGTACCCCAAAGAGACTGTAACAAGCTAACATTCCTGAGCTAATGTTAGCTCAGGAACAACTTAAAGTTGACTTACCCCAAAGAGACTGTAACAAGCGGCCTAACGTTAGCTCAGGAACAACTTAAAGTTGACCCAGAAAAGAGAACAATCACCTGAAAAGTAACCAAATGTTAACCTGTAGTTCGAGTCAGAACTAGCAATCAAACGACTAGTTAGCGACAATGTAACCCAAGCTAGGGAACTGAAGCTAATTTATAGCTAAATGAGCTGAATATTGGCTAAATATTTGGCCATTTCCTAACTCAAAGTAACCTACAAGGTTTAGAACTTTAACAAAAAGATAAAAAAGTTGGGTCAATAATGAGTTTGACTGCTGGTTCCACGTGGGTGACTGATGGTTTTCCTGTTTGTGTAACTGTTAATAATTTGTAGCCCACACCTTTTATCCGACTCAGACTCACTCCTACCTGCAACTCAAGTCGTCGGCCACAGGGAATTTTCTGTTTTGTTCAGATGTTGTAATTTTACGATTTACTCAGCCCCTGAGGTCGGAGCTATTTACAGCAACTTCAGTGTCACATGAACCGAGGTAATGAAAAGTATATCTGCACCTCAGGAGGCTTTGAGTCAGAACTCCTTCATTTTTTAGGCCAAAATGAGTCTGGTGGTGACGTGAACCACGGTTTCAGAATCACTGAAGATGCACATTATATAAGAAGTGCAGTGGGCGGAGCCACTGAGTCGGCAGAAACGGGCCAGGTTGAGTGGGGGAGCCAGAACTGATGACAGGGCATGCTCTTTTTGTTCTCGGGTTCTGATATGTGTCAGAGATGGAGAGAAGCTCTGAATTGTTGTTGTTTTTATCAGACTGTGCGGTGATGTGATAACCATCTAGGTATGCTAGCTGAAACTCGCTAAAGCCCACATATTCTCTTGTTTTCATCTGGTGCAATCACACGAATGTGTGGTTCTCAAAGGTGCAATACATTATCAACACTTTATCAACACTTTATCGTTTAGGGATGTGACCATACACTCAGTTCAAAAGACGAGACGATACACCATATTTGAACATTACTTACGTTGCAAAAATTGCAGTGACGAAATGTATGACCGGACATGTATAATAATAATGAAAAAATATGTAATATGAACCCCTACACAATGCTGCTGCATTTGGAAACGAAAATAAGAAAAAATAAATTAAATTGCAGAAAAGTACAAAACTGTAAACAAAGTACTGCTCCTTTAATACTGAATACAAAAAAGTGCAAAAAAGGAAACCGACTATTTTTATTTTTAGATACAAATTAGATGTTGCTAAGGCGCATTACTGCCCCTCACAGGCCACAAATTGAAGTTTGGTTAGCTCACAGTCTCATGGACTTCTGCCTTGTGTCGGCGAGAAAGTTGATCGCGAGAAATATCGTCATGTTTTAGCCTTGTGAGATCTCAAGGAACGTTAAAGGCAGGAAGTAAAAAGCCACACATTAGCTACAGATAGCTAAAAAAAGCTAAGGTTTAACCAACGTGTTGTGGCTAGTGTATAAGAGGAGTGGTTACAAATGTATCCACCAAAGTGAAATTACTTATATTTCAGCTGGGTCGACAAAAATTACCCAAAGGCCAGGTGTGGTACTGCAGCCCTGTTTCGGTTGACTTGAGAAAGGCCCGGCCCATTTCTCTGGAGGTTCCCGACCTGTTTACTGTAAATGAATGTTTTTTTTTATATTTGCGGTTTTGGATGAAGAGACACAGATTACTTTGGTGTCCATGGCCCTGAACTGCCACCACAGAGACAGATACTGAGAGCAGTGCAGCGTGGGTAGGCGTGGGAGGCCTATGACAGAGATGACTCAGGTCCCTGTTGCCGGGCAGAGAAGCAGCAAACGCTCTCCCTCCAACATATATATGAAGTAAAAAAAAAAAAACACTTTATCTTTTGCAGCTGTCGTTAGGTGGAGGTTTCATGAACCTTAATCATAAACCAGTGGAAAAATGATATATTATTATACAATACATATACATATACATAATTATTATTATTATTATATGACATCAAACTTTTATATGTCATAACAAAGTTGAATCCACTGAGTAGACGATATTTATCTGTAGTCTATGCTAACAAATGCTAACTATTTTGTCAAACTACTGTATTTTTTATAATGAACGTCATAGCATTTTTCTGCTAACTCTTGGTTAATATCTGATAGTTTGATGTATTTTTTTTAAATGTAAAACTAGCTCACATTAAGGTTGATAATGCTTAGTTTAGCTTTATTTTTGGCAAATATAAAATGCCAGTTTTGTCACATAAATATCCTCTCTTTCTGTATCTATTTCTGGTCCTGCTCCCTGTCTGACCTTAGAATGTAGTAATATGTCATTTAGTTTTTCAAATTAATCTATTTAGCATTTTTGTTGTGGTGTGTCTGTATAAATGAGTGTTTGGTAATGAAATTCTGTGTGTGTGTGATTATAGTCATTTGTACGGTGTGTCATTACTCAGTCGATGGATATCAGTAAATGTCAAAGTAAACTGTGAAGTCAGTATAGAAACTGTAGTAGGCCGAGAGTGTGTGTGTGTGTGTGTGTGTGTGTGTGTGTGTGAGTGTGTGTATGATGCAGTTAGTGAGTAGTTTGACAAACCCGTATTTGCGTTTTACTCAGATTTCAGAGAATGACAAACAAATTCTCGGGAACTCATATCAATGTTGCTAATGTAGTGAAGCGTATCTAATTTCTTCACGCTCAGCTGTGCACTGTTGCTGCTCCATGCAAATGT